AAGACAGTTTTGTGAAAATCTCATCTCAGATACACATCAAGGATTATAAGATAAAAAATATTTTTTTACTCGTTAACAAACAAAAAGTTGCATGAAAAATGTTTGACCTGGGATATTAAAACAGGCTCCCAGGCCTCAAGGAGTTCTTGGATGAGAATCTCAGGAATTTTGCACTTTGAAAGCGTTCCCTTGGGGATTCTGATATGTTCTGAACTTTAGTCTCTTCTCTGAGAACCTCTGTAGGGTCTGGAATTTCAAGCAGTCTAACAACCACGGAAGAGCTAATCAACAAATTAGTTCAACCACATTTTCATGCCCATCACCTGTTTAAAGGGCAGAAAACAGGCATTTAATGATCATAAATAAAATGTGATTGTCTCCTTTCCCCATATTACTGGCCTCACTACTGGGCTATTTTCTCCCAAGTCCTTCCATCACTCAGCCCAGGGCAAATCAGACCCATTCTGGTATAGCAGACCTCACAGCTCTAATCTTCCAAAGTAAACAGATAAAGAAGATTTTGTTGCCAGCCGTGAGGCTGGATTGAAATTTGCAGGGGAAGACTGCTCAGCAAAGTACTACCAAAAGCTCACACCCCAGGCGAGTCATCAGATCTTTATGCACAGCAGGCATGGCCTGTCCTACCCCAATCCTGGCACAGATATCAACCACCTGTCTTGACAACTGGAGGCAAAACTTCCTGGAATGAGGATCTAGCTACCCTGAAGGCCTAGGCTTCTGGAGGCTGAGTAGGAATTTTCTACGACAGCTGCCCCTCATTCTACATCACTGGACACCCCCACCCCTCCATCCACAGCAATTAATCAATCTCCATGTATATTAAGTCCATGCACATACAAATGTATAATTATTGTTTTCTGTCTCCTGAACCGTTCTCTCCTGTACCTCGCTCTTAGGTAATAAAAACAAAAGTCATTATCTTTTCTGAAGGTAACTTTAAAATCCAGACTCCCTGATTAGACCACTTTCAGCTCCTCTCCCTTGAACCTCCATTTTTGCTGAGTGTAAGGAAGACTGTCCATACATATCTGAATGGGAACTCAATCTCTTTTGCATAAGGGACTCCCTCTCTCTGATCCCCTAGAGCAGCCACGGTGGGCCTTTTAGAGCTTTCAAGGACACAAACAGCCTGTTGTGGCATAGGCTTGCCACCACTACCCTACTCTTTTGTGGCTAGTCTCAGTAGCAGCCACATATTCCTCAGGGTGAGCTGCTCTTAAGTTTTTTTTTCTTCCCAACTTGATTTGCATATTTCTAGGACACAGCAACCATCCTCTATATTTCTATCTGGTCCCTTTATATTTCTATCTGTTTCTATCTGGTTGCTTTAAAGAAAAGATTTTTTTTCCAAATTTACATTTGTATACGTAATATGTGAATGTGGAAGGACATACAGCAATCACACTTCATGTCAAAAACTATTGGCAACGGACAAGTTAACTGAAATCTGTTCATCTTAGCAGAAATGTCTTTCACCACATTTAGTTGGTCAAACACCAAATTGCCACTGCTACATTCCAGATGCTGGAAACAGTAGTGATATTAACTTTAAAGAAAAAGAGTTTTACACTAATAGGGTCAGACTAAGAGAATCATGGACAAAAATAAAGCAGCCTAAAAAATTGTTGTCAGAAATTTTGATCTTTTTTTTTTTTTTTTCTGTGCTTGGTATTGAACATGGGCCTCCTACATGCTATGCAAATGCTCTACTATTGAGCTACAACCACAGCCCACTTGACTAAAATTAACTGGGTTTACTTGATGAGTGGTATGTGCCAGCAGCCTCCTAAGAGGTTTATGTAGTCTTATTTAATCTTCTCAGCCACTTACAAAGTGTCAACTATACTTCATTTCACAGGTAAAGAAACTATGGTTGAGAGAGAGAGAGAGAGAGAGAGGGCGCTTAACTTTCCAGGGTGGGTAAAGAGCAGAATAAAGATTCAAATTCAGATTTGTTTGATCTCCCAATACTCTCCTGCCTTTCTGGTTAATTCTTAATGTGAATTCTCATCTTGTAAACGGACAAAGATCTTTCTTAAAGAAAAGGAGAAGAAAGCCAATTTTTTTAAAAGCAAGCAACCAACCCATGAACCCTTCCACAGAAGAGGCCAGAAGGGAGAACTTAAAAGACAAACTTATTTACCTTGGCTTTATAATCTGCCTTCTATTCACTGAATTTCAGCCTATGATTGCTTCCATAGACAATTTCAATAGCCTCCCAATTCTGTTGTCTCTAATGTTAGAATATAACCCAAATATGACCACTATTCATCATTCCCACATATATCTTAACAAGTTTCAAAACTTCTATCCTCTACTCCCTACAGTTTCATCTCAGCACATCAGTATCTTTTTAAAAGGCTCAATCAGATCACATCACAACTCTGCTTAAGACCACCTCTAGCTGCACTTCCCCCTGCTCTCACCTTTCCCACTCCATTCTTAGTATGTGGCTTCCTTGCTGTTCCTTGGGTAAACATGTCATTCTTTTCCAAAGGATCTTATAAAAGCTGTTCCTTTTGCCTGGGGCTCTTTTCTCCAAGATAAGAGTAAGGCATATCCCCTGGTCTCCTGTGTGCCTTTACTTAAAGGCCCCTGTCCAATTGAGGCTTTCCCTCAAAATCCTGTTTAAATCTGTAATTTACCTTCTTATCCCAGGACTCCAACTCCCTTCTGGCTTGCTCTATTTTTATTTTTTAGCCATAATCATTTAGTATTATGTTCTTACATACTACATAAAATATCCCACTTACTGTGTTTATTGTATTCTCTCATTAGAATGGAAAATCCATGAAAGTAAGAATGTTTACGTTTGGCTCACTGTTGTATCTTCATCACCCACCATAATGCCTAATAAGCAGCACGCACTCAGGAAATATTTGCTGAATTACTGTTTTGAATACGTACTAATGGAAAATCCATGAAAGTAAGAATGTTTACATTTGACTTACTGTTGTAGCTTCATCACCTAGCACAATGCCTAACAAGCAGCACGCACTCAGGAAATATTTGCTGAATTACTGCTTTGAATACTTACTAGCAAGAAAAACTGATTAAGTCAACGAAGCACCCTATGGTTTTGAGTACTCCATGGTTCTGATCCATTTAGGAGGCACTCATTCACCTGACTCAGAAACCCAAGGGTTTCAGAGCCATTAGGAAGGGATAACACGTGGTGATGTCTATATTTTAGTCAGTCTATTCTATGTCTGGGGGAAGACCTTGGGGAAAAGAAAGTTGAAATTATTGAGTCTATTACAATAGTTTAGGCAAGAGAGGATGAGAGCCTGAGAAATATTTACTAGATAAGAAGGAAAGATGTGATGACTGATTAGATGTTGGGGTACTCAGACTGACTTAGGTTTCTAAGTTGGGTGACTGGGCAGATAATGTCACAATAATGGAGACAGAGCATACCAGAAGCCCATTTGAGAGTGGGCCTGGAGAGATAAGTCTTGTCCACTTAGATTAAGATTTGTTTTTGTAGTCTACTGACAAGTAATTAAAGTGATTAGAACGGAAAGCTCAGTGGGGGTTCAAAGCAGTAGAATATAAACAAAAAGAATCCTTCAAGCAGATCATTGTTTATGTTCCCATTTATCAGTGGCACTGAGCTGGACTTTGGGCAGGCAGATTTCCTTCTAAGGAAAAAGACACGAATCTTTTCTCACGAGTTAAAAGTTTCAAGTTGATTGCACACCAGAAGATACAGACCTATATATCTCCAGTAGACTTCATTGATGGCTGGCCCCATCTCCCTGGAAAATAACTTTCAGACTTCGAGATTTAAAAAGGGATCCATTCTAAAGATCCTCCAAGAAAGGTTTTCCAACAAAGTGCCTCAATCCACCCCTTACATAAGTGACAATTTTACACTATCATACCTGGAAAGTTCTCTCGATTGACCTTAGGCCTGCGGATGATCACAAAATCTTTATCATTTCCTTTGCTCTTCACCCTTTTCCGTGAGGGGCTTTGCGGGTGGCCAAGGTTTGAGAGCAGTTCCTGGGGGATGTTCTCACTGTCCACCTCCTCCTTCTCAAGGGCGGAGACCCCCATGCCTGACAACAGTTCAGAAGTCTTGCTGGAGTCCCATCCCCATGTGAAGCTGGTGGTAACGTTGCTACTCTGGTCCGGAATTTCCTGGAGGTGCTTCCTGCAGAAGGGCACAATATCATCGCCTTTCTTTTGAAAACACACCCCTAAATAATTCTAGGGTAGGCATGAAAGAAGCAGCAAATTATGCATTGTAGAAAACTTTAACAGCAGCTAATAGAATTGTATTTTTTACGTGCCGACAGTTAATTCCCAAGAATGAAAAGGAAAACAAAAAAAAAAAAAAAAAGAAAAGGCTTTTTGATTTACTATCACGCAGAAGGCCTCAAGATTTTCTTCCCGTGGAGGGAACAAGGAAAGAGAGCCATATAGTGATTGAAATCGGTAGTAGGTAAACCCAATTTGGGAAGCCAAATTAAACTGCATCTCATTCCCGCACGGAAGCACCCATCTAGCCACACATTCCCTAAGGGGCTAAGCAATCATTCACTGAACAGCATTAATAAAGATCTTAGCAAGTAGCAATATTAGCGGCCTAAAAGAATTCAGCAGGTCCATCCATGGTCTGCCCTCTTTGCAATCCACTTACCTGTGCATGGCGTCCACCGGGTCCGGAGTTTTAAATACGTGCATTAATTGCAGAACTGCCCGCCTCCCGGATTCCCGCTTTGGCGCGCAGCGGCTCCCAGCGTGCAGCTTGGGCTCCTAGCAGTCAGACCCGCGAACTGTAGCAACGTTCCATCCCTGCAGCGCGCGCAGAGGTCCTCCGCCCTCTCTCCCTACGGCTGCCGTCTGCGCCTGCAGCCTTCTGGGAATTGTAGTTCCTCTACTATAGCAGTCCGACTGGCTCGCTCTTACTTCCGGCACAAGTAGCTTCGTCCGCCTTTCAGATACCCACAATACCCCGCGGCGCGGGGCTGGACAGCACACGGGGTAGGCGGGGAGGCGGAAGTGGGCGGAGCTCCCATTGACTGGGAAATGTCAGCTGCTTGACTGGACAGATTGCCCTTTCTCGGGAGCCTGGAGGCCTTCTGGTGACCCCCGAGTGTGGGTCTCAGACCCTGGACGGCTGTGGCGGACGCGAAGCTTCCCGGTCCCTTCCAGACGCTGTCTGGCGAGATCGGACGGTGAGCCCGAGGGGGGCGCGTGTGAGGCGCGTTGGGGTCTGGGGTCCTGGCCGAGCGCTGACGGAGATAGAAGGGAGCCCAGGAGAGAGAGCGGCCGCCGCCTCGAGGCCCACCCTGGCCTCTTCCCTCCGCCTAGGTGAGAGGCTGCAGGCCTGGAGGATCACACCTGCTAGTCTCTTTGCCATAAAGCGTCTTCCACTGGGGAGAGGCCGCCCTTAGGACTGCGTCGGTGGACAGGATCCTTCCCACATCTGTAAAATAGGAACGAAGACGACGCACATCTCACAGGCTTGAAGTGAGGATCAAATGAGATGATGAGTGTGAAAGTCTGTTGAGAAGTAAAGCGCAGTTCACAGGAGAAGCGGTGGTTTAATTTTAGAGGAGCTGGAGACCGCAGTGGTTCCTGCGTGCTGTAGGAAAGCTGCGTTTCTTCTTGCAGCCTGGACAAGCCTCGTACACGCTAAGCAAGGGAGTAAATAAGATGACGATATGTTTTCAAAGGGCTTTACCTGCAAGCAAGAGGCCACCAGCAATGCCATTTGGATATACTAGCTCAAGCGATTTCGTCCGTTTTCCTGGCCCCCTAAAAGCACGCTGCATTTAGCTTATCTCTGATTGGAAGAGGTTGGGGGCGCTTAGGGTAGGGAGCATGCCATATTCCAGGCACAGATGACCCCCCGAAATCCACTGTGCAAAGTATACTAAAACTGTGACCCTGGAAAAACAGTGGGAGAGGGAAGGAGGTTGAATTCTAACCCTAATAGAAACGAAGAAGACTTAATAAAGTTCAGAAATAAGCAAGTCTGTTTCATCACAAGCATATTAGAATATTAATTCAGTATGCTTTATGATACGCTTGTGTTTCTTTGAAAACAAACTAAATTCGCTTTACACTCCCTTGCCCAGGTGTGTGCTTCTTTCAAGCTTGGTGGTTGGCTTGAAAAGTAACTACATGTTTGCAGAGGAAAGAATTCTGTGCCTTTAGTTTGTTCTTGAAAGTTGATATGATTGGTGTAAGGAGATCTGTTAATAAATTGATTTTAATTGAGACTAAGAATACTAAACTTAAGTTCAAAATTCATTGAACTAATGTTAACATGGAAGATATTTTAAAATGTAACCCCCACTATATATGTATTCAGTAGTCTCATTTTTGGAAATCGAATATGTCAAGAGAGATTCTGTTTAAATATAAGGGCAAAGTGCTTTTTACCTTAGTTCCATCATAGCATGAAGTAAATCTTTAAACTCCTTTAGTTATTTTTTCTTATATTATTTAACCTAGCAGAACAAAGGGATGAGGACAATTTCATGGCAAAAAGTTTTCATCTGCCAATCAAATTTCAATTTTTATTCATTTCCGTTGGTTTGTCTTAAAGCAGATTTTGAGTTCTGTTCAAGTTAATGCTCTGTGATAGATGAGGCAAGAACAAAAAAGTCCTAATTTTCTGTATGTTTTCTACTTCTCACATGTGGATTACAGTCATATCAATAGCACTATTATGTGTAAGGTGAAAACTTAAATTCTATATTAAACATGACTTTCTTTGCATTCTATCTTGGTACAGCTAAAAGAATAATTAATAGAATGTTTTAAATTTATTCACTATGAAAACTGAACCAGAGAAATTATTTAAGCAATTTAAATTGCAGTAAGTAAGATGTCAGGATGGGAGATAAGACATGTAATTGAAATTTGGGCTTTGTGGTCAGGATGCATATGTTTGGATCCCAGCTTTGTCACTTATTAGCCATGAGAACTTGGACAAATTACCCACCTTGTACCTTTCTCGTCTTAAGCAAAAATACTAACAGTTCTTTCTTACTAGACTGTGGGATCTAATTCAGTAAAGCATAATATTAGAACAATGTTTGGACTATAGAAAACACACATAAGTATCAGTGATTTTTTAAAAAGACTGTTATTGGGAAGGATACTAAGAATTATTTTTAAGTCTTGAAGTTTATATTCCTGGAGTCTTAAAACTACCCATTAAGAGTAGTTTTCTTTTTACCTATCTACCTGGTTGCTCTCCCTTTCATACCTTGCTAAAGGTGAAACAATTTGCCTGTGTCTCCTCCTGGGAGGGGCCTGTCACACTTTGGAATTCAGGTTACCTGGTTGGTTTGCCAACTTGGCTTTTTGATGGCTTAAAAAACTATATGATTTTTTTCTCATTTTTATTTTTTACTTATTTTTTTGGTACTGGGGATTGAACTCAGGACCTTGCACTTGTGAGGCAGGCAGCAGAACCACTGGGCTAAATCCATGAGCAGGATAGTCTCTTGTGGTACTCTATATTCTAAACTGAACTCTCTTTATGTCTGAACCTTAAATATGAGAATAATGATTGTTCAGAAGACTTAAATTTGAATTTTTAATCCTTCACTTCTAGTTGTGATTCTTTTTGTTTTTCATCACTAGGATCTTGAGTTGTCTCCTAGATTTTATAGACTATTTTTATTTTATTATTTATCTCTATTTTGTCACATGTTTGAGTAAAGATAACCATATAAGTTAACAATGAGTCTAATGAATCATTAGGTCCTCACTGGAAATTTTTCTGTTTCAGAATGTTTAGTTCTGTTAAAATTTTTGTCAGGTTTTTGTGTTTTTGTAGGTTGCTACCATTTCTTGCTCTCTCTCTTTCTCTCTCTCTCTCTCTCTCTCTCTGTCCTTTTAAACACTGGAATTCCTGAAATTCCAAAATTATCATAACCTCGGAAATTTTCCTGAAAGAAAATTTATCAGCCATAAAATACTCAGAAAACAGAACTCCAAGTCAGGGACTTTAACAAGCTGATTATAAAATTATTATAAAGGCATTTATAATAATAGTAATATTGAATAATATCTTAATGATTGGGAAAACACTGGGTTGGTTTTTAAAGTTTAAGATTTTGGAACCGATATTTTGACGGTACAATATATACCTACATATTAGGTGCTAAGATTTGATAGAATGGATTGACATTTTGATTTTGAGTAAAATCAACTTTTTGCTGCTGTGATGTTAATGCCATCTGTTCATAGTTTTAACACGCCCCCCTCTTTTTTTTCTTTTTTTTCTTTTTTTCCTTCTGTACTGAGGTTTGAACCTGGGGCCTTACACAGGCTAGGCAAGTGGTCTACCACCAAACTACATACCCAGTCCTTTAAAAACTAAATTAAATTACATTCTGAGACAGGGTCTTATAAATTGCCCAGTGTGATGGTTACTCTTGATCACCAAATTGATTGGCCTGAGAGATGCCTGGGAAATTAGTAAAACATACTTCGGGGTTGGTCATGGAGGTATGCCCTTAGAGACTAAGTCTTGTCTCTGGTTCCATCCTCTTGGGCTTTTTCCCTGCTTCCTGCTTCCCAGATACCTTGAGTTGAGTAGCAGCTTTCCCATGCTATGCCCTTCTACCATGATGTTTCTGCTTTGGAGCCAGCTGTCCATGAACTAAAACCTCTGAAACTGAGCGAAAATAACCCTCTCCTTTAAGTTGCACGTGTCAGCAATGGGAAAGCTGACAAGTACACCCAGCCTGGCTTCAAACATAAAATCCTGCCTCAGCTTCCTCTGTAACTGATATTGTAAGCACACACCACAATGCCTGGCTTCTCTGTCTTTTCTAATCACTTGGAACTGAATTTTGATTTGCCTCCAAATTTAGTATGATCCTGATTTTCTCCCTAAACATATTTTAATATCTGAAGTGTATTATTAGTCAGCTATTGTGGTCAGAGGTGTATTTCTGCTTTTGTCCTTGAGACTTTTTGGAAAGGTACAGATGGTTGCAGTTCAGCAAATGGCCTGTCATAATCCATCTCTGTTTTAATCATGCACTTAGAAGAATGACATTTTCTTTCTGTATGCCATTGGTGTGTCAGGTATACCTTCCTGAAGTGGTTCTGAGATGTGTTCTGTTTCTTCAAAGCAAACATGAAGGAATGTTTGAGCAGCCTTATAGACTGAGGACAATAATCCTTTTGTTGTGAGAGGCACAGGAAGCAATTTCTATGAGCCTATATAATATTCTTATGTAACAACGACAGTGGGCCCAGACTTTTGGAACCACAGAGAACGAGAAGTAAAAAACAGGTTTTTTTCTATTTAGTTTATTTTGAGGAGACAGGAAACAGACCATGGGGTAAAGCTATTCTGTGAGACCATTGAGTCAACTAGGTATCCTCTAGGAGTGTATGATATGAAGGCAGCAGAGATAAGCACCCAGCATTTACTGAAGGCCTACATTGTGCCTGAAACTCCTACTTTGTGTATTATTTGATCTTCACAGCAACCTATCTAAGGTGGTTTTCCTCCTTGAATGGCCTTCATTGCATACCAGTTAGATAATTATGAAATAAAGTTGGGATTTGGAGCCTAACTTTGCTAAGGCATAATATTTTAAAAGAGTTATAATTTTAGGCACTTAACACCTGGCAGAATTTTTCATTTTCTTTGTATTTTACCTTCATATTGCTGTATTGATTTAAAGATAATTTTAAAATTACAAAACAATATGGGTAATTAAAAATTACACAGAAGAAAGCACAAAGAAGAAAGTAGGTATTATCTCTTTACTACAAGGTGACAACCATTGTGAGATATATATATATATATATATATATATATCATTGTCAATTTGAAGATATATATACATATATATATATATGTATATATATCCTTTCTCCTAGGCTGAAGAAATGATGATCTTTAATCATTGTCTGCAATAGAGTGTTGCTGTTAGGTAGTGTTTGACTCAGGCATAGATCCCTCCTCCACCAAGCATAGCCAGAACAGGATTAGAAAGTTATGAAATCCTTGGCTGTTTTTCTCAAAAAGTCAATGGGCAGCAATGGGACGGGACTGTTTAGTACAATTTAAGTTGTATGGTTTCAGATTTAAATAATGTCATCATGAAAAATAATATTGTACATGAATTTTTATTCCCATTTTGGTTCTTGAAAAGTTATTTTTTGAGGAATTGCTAGGACAAAGAATACATATTTTTTGGAAGATTTTAAATATATGTTGAGAAATTGCTGCCCCTCTAGCAATGAGTTATTTAATAAGCTAAGCTTGAATTGTTTGATCTTTATTGTTACTAGATTTTAATTGGAAATTATTTTTATAAATTGTAATTTAATCTCCAAATAATCAGAGAGAGAATAACATACTCCTAGATTTCCACGGGAAATTTTTAATTGAAACAATTAGAACAGGCTACAGAATTCTTAAGGAATCTCAGAAGATGCTATTCTGTGGTGGAACAATTCCTCATTTGAATATGGGTAGAAAATCGAAGACACAGACTTTAAAATGGTTACTTTCTCATTTCAGGTTAGGCAAACCCTAATTTTTATCTCCCATTTCATGGAACCAGTAGCCCTCACCTGTGTCAGAAGAAGAAAAAATTCTGTTAAGAGAAGTGCATGATGCAGTAAATAGACTAACACACAAGGGTGTCCTCCCCTCACCTCTGGAACCAGTCCATGTGATCAGGGTGTCCAAGGGGCCCAATGCTAAGATTTAGGCAATCTTAGCAAATTAAGAAACTAGGAATTAGAGGTTCTTCTCCAGAGAGGAATGCAAACCCACTGCCACCTTGTGAGACTTTAAGTAGAAAATTCAGTTGAGCCAACCTGCATTGTGTATTTTAATAAAGGGTAAATTTACATTTACATGGGAAATGTCCCTACATTATATATCAAAGAAAAAATCACATTTAACAAACTTTTCTTTGGTATTTACGTTATTGAAAGTTTCTTTCCATTGTCAATTTGAAGGATTTTATTGATCCTTATTTTGTTTGTTTATGATCTTAATTCTCAATGTTAAGATATTAATCACTTGGGCCAGGGATTTAGCTCAGTGGTTCCACCGCCTGCCTCGCAAGCTAAAGACCAGAGTTCAATCCCCGGTACCAAAAAAAAAAAAAGATATTAATCACTTATTCATAGCCAAACAAAATAGCCAACACTGACTTTACAAAAATTGCATAATGCCTTTATTAGTAAAGATAAATTATTTTTCTTGGTAGAGTGATATCAAATAAACCATTTACTTATGTCTGTATCATCATTTATAATTAAAAATATTTTCAAATGTATGACTATTCAATAATCATTTTCACATATAAAATAGGAAAAATGACTGTCTTTAAAGAAAATGAGATTCATGTAGATAAGTGGAAAGTGAAGCAGTAGGTTTTTTTGAGACAGGGTTCCACTATGTAGTTCAGGCTAGCTTTGAACTCACTATGTAGCCAAGGCTGGCCTAAAACTGGCTGCAATCCTCCTGCCTCAGCTCCTGAGACCTAGGATTGTAGGTATGTGCCACCATGCCAGCAAAAATAAGAATTTTAAGTCCTGAAAGTTGAGTTGTTAGAAAAAATTAGCATTAAAAAAATAACTTTTCAAACCAAAGAAAGATTAAATTATGGGCTATGGATAATCTTAGAAAACTTTGTTTTGCCAAATATCTAATTCCTAGGATCTTAATTTGCTAAGATTGCCTAAATATCTAATTTCATAGGGTAGTATATTTTAAAATATTCTGTTAAGATTTAGAACAGTGAGAAACTCCAAGTGACACTATTGGAACTGTTCACATGTGGTATTAAGAATGCCTTAATTTGTAGTATTTTAAGAACTAGTACAACTTTTGTTAGAATAACTTTTTTCCTGAAGGTACAATGTGAAATTTTTAAGATGGATTTTAAATAGTAAGATATAAGAACTTGACATTAGGAATTATTTTTTTCATTTTATTCACAGTCCAATGTAAAGCATGACAGTTTCCCCAATGTTAAATATTTAGAAAATTTCCAAATGGTTGTTTCCTGTGTTAATAATACATTTTTTGTTTGTTTTCAGTGAATAGATATGGTTCAAAACTGTACATGAATAACTTCAGTTACTCAGAGTAAACATTCAATAATGAGTAGTGCAGCTTTGGGACTCGAGATTGTTTTTGTCTTTTTTCTGGCTTTATTTCTACTTCATCGATACGGAGACTTCAAGAAACAGCATAGACTTGTAATTGTTGGAACACTGCTTGCTTGGTATCTCTGCTTTCTTATCGTCTTCATACTGCCTCTGGATGTTAGTACGGTAAGAGGTAGAACTGATTTTCACAATTTAAGAAGCAGCTGTAATTATGTAGTTTGTCGAGATCCATTATATCTCAATGAGCTAAATAATACCAGGTTCTTATATTTTGAATTTAAATGTTATTTGAGAAATTTGAACATTATACAGCATAACCAGGAAGATAACTTTAGGTAGGTAGATTTGTAAACTCCAGTATGCCTTAAAAACATAGTAACTTTTTATTCTCATTTTTAACTATGATTGCTTTAGACGATTTACAACCGGTGCAGGCATGCTGCTGCAAATTCAAGCCCTCCAGAGAGTAGCAACAGCACAGGATCATATGGAATTATTTCCCCTGTTCCAAGGTATTTTATTCTTTGTCTTTTTATTTATTTCTTTATTTTTAGCTTAATGCTGTAAGAGGAAAATTTTTTAAAAACTGTTTTTTGGGCTGGAGATTTAGCTCAGTTGTGCCACCACCTGCCTCACAAGTGCACGGTCCCGAGTTCGATCGCTGGTACCAAAACAAAACAAAACAAAATTTAAAAAAACTTGTGTGTTTTTACCACCCATATTTTATATTTATAAAAATTAATCTCTATTGATCCTTCCACTTTCATTCTTTGCCAGTATTCTTTTTATTATGTTGTCTTCTATTTAAATCTAAACTAAATATTTACTGGCGCACAGTAGATAGTAGTGAAAACCTTAAAGGAGACCTGATTTTTTTAGCCTGACTCTTCCACTTTCCAAGTATGAGACTTCCCAAACTTTTGTTTCCTCTGTCTCTGTCACATATTTTAAAAATGGAGCATGAACATTCCTGGGTTTCGGTACCATAAATCAAGGAGCATGCATTTTTTTTTTTTTGCCTTATTTACAAGGCTGTTATGAAGAACATAGAAGTTATTCTGTATGTAGGGTAGTCCTTTTATATTGCACATCCCTTAAAAGTATTATAGTTTTAAATCAAGAGTAAATATAGTTCAAATTGTCACAAGGTCATATTGAATTGATATCACATTTCCAGGTGAAAAATGAATCTATGTTGATATAAAGTTTTAGCAATTCTTTTAAGTAGTATGTGTTTCTTTATGCAGCTTTTTTTTTTCCCCAGTACCAGGGATCGAACTCAGGACCTTGTGCTTGTGAGGCAGGTACAATGCCACTGAGCTAAATCCCTGGTCCTGTCTTTATGCAGCTTTAAAAAAAAAATCAAAATAAATAAATTTAAATTGTAGTTGTTACTCCTCTTTGAAGCACCATTAGAAACTGTTTATAGATCAGTTGCAATTATAGGATGTTGTTAACTCGTTGGATTAAAGGATATCCTAGCAGCCTAAAAGACTTAAATGGAAGAATCTATGGTTAGAGACTCATCAGAAAATTCAAGCACAATTGTATACAGATAGAGATATGCATCTCTATAGTAGCCATATTATACAATGGACCCTCAAGTTACGACTAGCCTGACATACAAACACCTTGTGTTACAACCAGAATTTTAGTTTTAACCTACGACCAAAGTCTTGAATCATAACCAGAATGCCAGCTGCTTGTGCTTACATATAGTATCAGATACAGATTTAACCTTGAAAGAGTTCTGAAAGGAACATTACAGCATCCTTTCCTGTGTGGGGTTAATTGAAAAATCCTGGGCCAGTGTCTCTTAAGGACACTGAGATCTGCCTGTATACAGGAGAGAGACTTTGAAGGCTGTGTAGAGGAGCCTAAGCCTTCAACTGACCAACCTCAGTTACAACCAGCCCTCAGGAATGAATTGAGTTCGTAAGTCAAGGGTCCACTAGTGGCTAATTTAATTTCAGTATCTAGAATTTAATCACCTAATATCTTCTCCTCCCCAACTCCCATTTCTATATAACAAAACAAAAACAAAAGAAAACTGGGGAGGCTGAGGTAAGAGGATCACAAGTTTGAGGTCAACTTGGGCTGCAGAGCTAGTTCAAGGCCAGCTGTAGTGAGATCTTGTTTGAAAAAAACCAAAACCAAAAAACCAAAAAAAACCTTAACCCTATAAATGAGATGAGGACTAATCATTAGAAATTTGATTTAATAACATTTAAAGACTTGCATTATTAAGTCTATTAGTTGGACATTCTTTTCACTCTGTGACTGAAAATACACTGAAAGTTAAAAGGCATTTATTTTTAGAATTGTTTGTTCTCTTTGTGTATGTGTGATTTTTTTCTTTAGTTTGAGAGTCAGCTTTGGATTTTAAGTTTTCTATGAAGTCTTATGAGGCAGAGTCAATAATTATTAATCTGACTAAATGAACTTTGCCACACATAAATTAATTGTATAATTCATTTAAGTAATAATTACTTATGATTAATTGGTTTTAAATTTTTATTAAATAGACAACATCCATGTTTTAAGCCATGGAGTTACATTCCTGATGGAATCATGCCAATTTTCTGGAGGGTAGTATATTGGACATCACAATTTTTAACATGGTAAGTAACAGTGAAGGATAAAATTTGAAAACTTTTAGCTAAAGTAAAAAAAAGGGATTATTTTTCAATGAACCTTTGTATTTTGCAATTTATTTTCCTCCTTAAATTGATATCTTCTTTCTTCTGCTGGCTCAAATCTCCCTTTTATTAAAAGGAAAGGGAGGAAAGAAGGAAGGGGAAAAGAAAAGAAAAACAAAAAATAAAAAACAAACAAAAAACCAAAAAGTTTTTCTTGTCACTCCTTCCATCCAGTTGTTTTTCTCTCTCTTGACCTTCAATCCAGTCTTCTTCTAGTCCCCCTGTTACTACTCTTACCAAGGTCACCATTATTCCCTGGTTTTCTTTCTACCACCTTGGCCAGCCTTCTGAATTTCCTTCATAGAGTCTTGAGTTTGGTTATCTTGGACTCTTCCTGGACAGCTTTAACTAGAACCATAGTTTCATTGGCCAATAATGCATCCCAAAACTTTCTTTAGACCCATTATAAATGCTTTGTCTTTCTGCTGTCTCTGCTGGTTCCAGGGACACATTTACCCACTGCCTACTGAACATCTCTGAGATGCAGCTGAACTCTCAAACTGGGCTGAACATTGTAAGAGAAAAATCACACAACAGAGTAGATTAATGCCCCTGTAAATTCGTGTTTATCATCCTCAACCGGGCCCTCAAAATTGCTGGTTTCCTTCTTTGTTTCATTAGTCTGTTTGCTGTTCGTTTCCTACATGAGATATTGTCAGTCACTTCAAACTCCTATCCTTTTTCACTCTTAGAACATGCCTTTATTTTCTATCTCACAGTTAAAGTAGAAGTCATCAGATGGCAGATCTTTCAGCTTCTCATCAACAAATTACTTTCCTATCCGTCCTTTCTCCCTTCCCCTCTAAGAATGGAAGAATTGTTCTTGTTAAGCTGTTCCCTCTTCCTGAATTGAGGACGTACCTGCTTCAGCTCTTGTCACCTACTTACAGCTTTTAGTTTTGACAAAGTAGTTCCCTCATCCTTTAAAACAAACAAGCAAGCAAACAAAAAATCTCTCAACTCAAATCCCTTTCCAGCCTCCATCTTGTAGATTTCATCACAATTAAATTTTTTGAAGACTTTAAAAAACTGAATTATACATTTCTACTGAAAAATCCACAGATTGTATTTAGTTTGACCTTTTTTAAAAAAATGATACTGGAGATTGAACCCAGGGCCTTGAGAGTACAAGGAAAATGCTGTTCCACTGAGCCACATCTCTAGCTCCTTTTTTTTTTGGTTCCAGGGATCGAACTCAGGACCTTCCACTTGTGAGGCAGGCGGTGGAACCACTGAGCTAAATCCCCGCCCTATCTCCTTTTATGAGAAAGGATTTTGACAGATTTCGCAGGCTGGCCTCAAACTCTTGATCCCCTCCCTTGGCCTCCTAAATAGTTGAGATTATGGATGTGTGCTACTGTGCCCAGCTACTTAAGTTTTTTCCAAAGTGAATGCACCTATGCACTAGCACTCATGATATAGGACATTAAGAATTCCCACAGAAGCCTTCCTCCTGCTCCTTCCTTGTCATCTCCAGTCCCCAAAAGCAACCATGATTCTAACTTCCATCACCATAAATTAATTTTGCTTGATTGTCACTTATAAACATGGAATAGTATGATATGTGCTTTCTTTTCTCTCTCTTTTGCATATACATTTGAGAGATTTATTTGTTATGTTGTATGTATCAGTATTCTATTTTTCTTTTCCGTAAGATACTCCATTTTATGTATATGTAATAGTTTATCCTACCCAGCCACACTTCTTAAATGAACTATCTACATTTGGTGTCTCCATTTGCTCATTGTTTACTTATTCCTCAACCCATAGTACCTGTTCTTTCTATATCCATGCCTCCACTCACACATACTGGTTCTTAGTTTACTTGACCTCTTGGCAGCATTTGACTCTATTGTTTTCTCTTTCCATTTTTAAACACTTCCTTCTCCTGGTTTCTATTCTATGTATTCTTTGGTTTTCTTCCTTGCTCCTTTACTGTTCTCAGGTCTCCTTCACTGGCTCTTTTTTCTCCTGTTTCTCTACATCTCTCTTAAAAGTTGATGTTTCTCAGGTCAAAGTTCTTTCCTTCTTCATTCCATATAGTCACCCTTCCAGAGCTAATCTACTGATAGTATTTTTGTACCATTTATATGGATAATGGCCCCAGAATCTATCTGTATTTCTCGTCTTTTCTGAACTCTGCAGCTGGATAGCCAACTACTTCCTCCCTGTGCAGCTCCTGTTGGATGTCTTTTAAGTCAGAACCACTAGAGTTAACAATCCCTCCTGTTTCTTTTCCTTTTTTAGACAGGATCTCCCTATGTGACTAAGGTTGGCCTTAAACTTGTGATCCTTTTACCCCAGCTTCCCAGATGCTGGCATTACAGGCGAGTGCCAGGATTATAGGACTGCTCCACCATGCCTGGCTTCCCCTCCTGTTTCTTATCACCACTTTCCTTACCCTCCCAACTAGTTCCAGTGTTCTCTTTCAGTCCTTTGAAAATTTGATCATATGTTCTTTCTATTAAAAATGTTTCCTCATTCTTTGAATGCAGCCCAGATTCTTCATAAAGCTTTTTAAGGCGTATTTCTAGACTTATCCAAAATCTCTCATATTGTTGTATGCTGCTGATCTTTGTGGTCTCCTTTACCCAAAGAGTGTTCACTGCTTTCTCTTGCTTGAGGCCTTTGCTTTGCCCCAAATTTAATATAAAAATATTCAGTAAGTGATTATGGTTTATGATTTATTCACTGTTAACACATAATTATTAATGAGAATTATCCATTGAAATTGAGATTCATATATTTCTGGCAGTTTGAGGTATACAGATGTCTTAGTTACTTTCTTTTAACTGCGACAAAATACCTGACACCCTTAGCTTAAAGAGGAGAGGTGTATTATAGCTCACAGTTTCAGAAGTCTCAGTCCTTGCATGGTGTGCTGGCTCCAGGTAGAAGCAGGATGGCAGAGGGAGATAGCAGAGGACAATAGCTGCTTAAGTCATTGTGTCCAGGAAGCAGAGGGAGAAGGGAGCCAGAAGGGAAATACCTGCTTCAGGGTTACACCCCCAGGGACTGCCCCCTCTACCTCACCAACTGATAGCTCAGCTATAGTACCCTCATGATGCAATCCTCTTCCAAAAGCTCCACCTGCCTATGAACACATGAGCCTCTTAGGGGGACATCCAGATATAAACCCCAACATATATATATATAATTGTTTTGTTTTTCTAATCATATTTTTCTACCCGTCTAGGATTCTGTTACCTTTTATGCAGTCATATGCAAGATCTGGAGGGTTTTCCATCACTGGAAAGATAAAAACTGCACTGATTGAAAATGCAATCTACTATGGCACCTATTTGCTAATTTTTGGAGCATTTTTAATTTATGTAGCTGTAAACCCACGTTTGCATTTAGAATGGTAAGAAAAGTAGTCTTCTTAACATTGTTTATGTATGTATTTATCCTTTTTTCAAATTCTTATCTCATATATACAAGAATGCAGACATTTTACCAAGAAACTTAGGAAATTATGTGTTTTAAAGATTTCCCCACAACAATCTGAATAATTCTTATTACTAAGAAAGAAAATGGAGGATAACCTCTTTAAAAGTAACTGTTAGGTGCTGGGCATGGTGGTACATGCCTATTAATCCTAGCATTCTAGGAGGCTCAGGCAGGAAGATCACAAGTTCAAGCCAAGCCTGGGCAACTAAGTTTGATGTAGCAAGACAATCTTAAAATAAAAAGAAAAAAATTTAAAAATTTTAAAAATGACTAGAAATCAATCCCCAGTACCATTAAAAAAAATACACACGCATGTAACAGTCCTGTGATGGATGAATGCTTTACTAATAGCTGTGTATTAAAAGTAATAAAATTATTTTTAGATAGAATTTCAAATTTTACAAATGAACAAATAGTTTTATTTTTCATGCCCTCAGCAACCTGCCAGTTGCGAATGTTTTCTTTTTGTAGTAGTTTGATGTCATATTTATCCTTAATGTTTTTTTAGATTTAGACACTTCAATAAAATTGAAGTGTATTTTGTACTTATGATCTGTAACATACATGGAAGCCAGGTCTGAAAATTTAGGAATACAGTACTAGTGATACCTTACTGTTGGATCCCTGAGATTTGTGGAGATTGGCCTTAGCAGAGATTGATTTAAATTTTTTTCATGCTTCTTTTGGTTCATATTATATAGGAAAGCACCTAGTGAAAAGTATGCTTTCTTTGGGAAAAATCTATATGCATTTTTACCATTAAGTATCCCAGATTTTAATTTTAACTGTAATAGAAGCAGTATTTCCTATGTTGAAGTCCATTTTTGAGTTACTGTGATATCTTGCTTCATGAACTTAATTCTTTCCATGATTCTGGTCACTAACCAAATTGGACAAGAACAGAATCAAATTCAGTGGTTAGGTTTAATGTTGACTTTATGGGGAAATTTGATTCAGTTCTCATCCAATTCAGTTTGTGACCAGAATTGTGGAAAGAATTAAGTTGGTGAACCCCCTTTCTTTCCATTAAAATGTATCTGCTTTGACTGAAAATAAGAGTGAGTATTTGAAGGTCTAACTTTGTCATATAAAATCCTACCTTATCTTTTAAATTTGTTTTAATACTAGTTTGATTTTACTTTTTTCATAGAAAAATGTATTTATCACAGCTATATGATTATGCTTTCTCTTAGGAACCAACTGCAGACAATTGGTATAGCTGCTGCTAATACGTGGGGTCTGTTTCTTCTTGTGTTATTGTTGGGGTATGGCTTGGTGGAAATTCCTCGGTCATACTGGAATGGAGCGAAAAGAGGTTATCTACTAATGAAGACTTATTTTAAGGCAGCCAAACTGATGACAGAGAAAGCGGATGCAGAAGAGAATTTAGAAGATGTTATGGAGGTAAACAGATTTAAACCTTACAAGCAATAGTTACCACATTGTATGCATTTCCTTTTTGACACTGCTGGGTTTTTGTTAGCAAATGGATGGGCTTCACCTACAAATTTGATGCTCATTCAAAATGATGTTCTACTGACAATTCAGCCTCATGCAGTTTCATCGTTATCTTCTAACTGACAAAGATTCAGGGAGAATATACTCAGTAATGAAAGGCTATATGCCTATTGTTTGGGGTAACTTTTTTTTTTTACTGTGGTCTTGGGGATTAAATCCAGGACCTTGTGGATGCGAGACAAGTTCTTGGATTCTCCAGCCCCTCTTTTTAAGAAAATTTTTATTTTGAGACAGGGTGCCATTAAGTTGCCCAATACGGCCTTGAACTTGATGATCCTCCTACCTCAACCTCTTAAGCAGCTAGGATTACAAGCCACCATACCTGGCTTGGGGTAACTTTAAATAGTGACCTCTTTTACTCTCAAAAATCTCCTAGATTAGATGATAGACTATATGATCACTCTAAATAGTGAAATGAAATAGTAATCAGAGAACACTTCTCCCTGAAAGCTTAAGCGAGCCAATCCGACCAAGTCTGGAAACCTCTTTAGAGAACAATTTGCATGGGTGTTTATATCAAAACAGATTTTGTTTTCTATCTGCAAGGTACTTCATTTTACTCTCTTGTAAAATTCAGATGACTCGAAGCAACTTCATCAAATTTTTCTTGAGGCTGTACTTTTGAAAGTTAAGCTATACTTTCAGTAATGTACATAAAAATGTATAACAAATTATAAAACTTTTGCTATGGTAAATAATAATTTGGTTTTAAAAGAGATCATTGTAGTCACTTCACATTTTTGCTCTAGGAGGAAAATATTCCTTTGGTGATATTTCTTTCCAACTTAAAACTTCATTTTGAAAGCCTTTCATTCATGTGAGAATAAACTCCAAAGCTTATAAAAACAATTCAGCCTGTATTTAGCTCTCCAGCCTTATCCCAGTCAAGACCTCCATCTTCTTCAAGTCTGCTCACTTTGGGTACTCAAACTTGCTATGAAATAGTAAACTATTCAATGCTATATATATTATTAATGTATTATGCATTATAATTACTAATATAATTCTATCTTAATACTTAACCTCGCATTCAACCTTGCCTCCTTAAACTTAATAATGGTGGTAATAATAACAAACAATTATGTAGACTTCCTATGTACCTAAATTCTAGGCACTTTACATATATGAATATATAATTGACTCTTGAACCATACAGAAGTCGGGGCCATTGACCCCTGTGCAGTCAAAAATCCATGCAACTTTTGACTCTCCAACAACTCAACTACCAATAGCCTACAGTTAACCAGAAGCTTTACTGGTAAGATAACCATTTGATTAACACATATTTTAGCTGTTATATGTGTTAAACAGTTAATATGTATTTTATATGTTGTACATGGTGAAAAATACTCTAGAATCACAAGAAATCACTTTTTATTGAGATATGAAATTTATTGGAGAGAGAACCTGTTCATGTGGGGATGTTCAGTACCACATGGTGTTTTTAAGTAGGTACCACACTTGAGCTCACCACAATAGCAACAAAGGGTAGCTGTGAAATTATTATAGTAGTTCAGTATGAATTACAGTTGATTTTATGCAGTTATGACTTAATACTGTATATTTACATTCATTTACATTTCTCTTGACTGGAAATGGTGCCATGTATAATTTTGAAATGAGCTCATAAGTTTTAATGAATTTTAACTTTTTATAATAGAATTGTATATGTTTCATGGTAGGAAATGATGAAATAGACTATTCACAAATATCTTATGCATTCATTACATACATATATTTAATTTTTTAAATATTTCTAGGCTATGTGGTTGATCTGTGAGTTTGTATAAAGTTCTCAAATTTAAAAAAAATGCATATAGATGGACTTGTGCATTTCAAGGGCAAGTTGTTCAAGGGTCAACTATATTTAATTCTCACACAGCTTTACAAAGAGATTTTTTTAAATCATCACTTTATAAATGAAGAAAACAAGGCACAGAGAGTTTAAATAACTTTTCTGTGTTTACACAGCTAGTAAGTGATGGACTCAGGCAGTATAACTTTAGTTCATGCTTTAATAGGACTAGCAAACTTTTTCTATAAATGGTAAATATTTTAGACTTTGTGTGCCATATGGTCTCTGTTGTGCTACTCTGTCATTGTAGCATGAAAGCAGCCTTATACAATACCTAAATGAATGAGTACACATGTCTTTCAATTTAAGAACAGGTGGTGGACTGGATTTGATCTGGTTTGATGACCCCTTTTCTTAACCATTATACTTATTACTTCTCTTTCCTGACTTTCAGCATGCTATTCTCAAATTCTTGGAATGCTTTTTACTCTCATCAGCTAATTCCTACTTCATTTTCAGGTCTTAACATAAATTGAGAATTCTTCAGGGAAGCCCTCTGTATTAGCATTCTAGGGCTGTTTTAACAAAAGTACCACAAACTTAATTATTTCACTTAAGAGTATGGCCTCGATATGCATCCATTTAGCTATAAATGTCTCTAGTTTTTCGTTCTTTATGGCTGAGTAGTCCTCCATTTTATAAAAAAACCCACATTTTCTTTATCCAGTTTCCAGTTGATGGGCACTTGGGCTGCTTCCAAGCTTTAGCTATTACAAACTGTGCTGCTATGAACATGGGTGCACATATATCACTGTGGTATGATTCTTTTTAAATTCTTTTGGGAAGATTCCCAGGAGGGTAATACCGGGGTCAAATGGGACCTGTAGTCCTAGTTCTTTGAGGTATCTCCATACTGACTTCCACAGTGGTTGCACCAGTCTGCACTCCCACCAGCAATGGAGAAGGGTTCCTTTCTCCCCACAACCCCACCAGCATTTGTTATTTGTTGATTTCTTGATAGCAGTCATTCTTTCTGGAGTGAGGTGGTGTCAGGGTTACTTTCTTCTGAGGACTATCAGAAAAATCTTTCATGCCTCTCTCCTAGCTTCTCCTAGCAATCTTAGAAATTCTTGGCTTATCAATCCTACCTTCATTGTTCTCTTTATATTTCTCTGTATCCAGAGTTCCCCTTCTTAAATGACTACTTGCTATCCAGCGGCCATGAGCTCATCCTTACTTTTCTAATTATATCTATTACAACCATATTTTCAAATAAGATCATATTTTGAGGTGCTAGGAATTAGGGCTTTGATATGTGAATTTTTAGGACTCACAAAATTCAACCCATAATATCTTTCCTGGTCTTCCAGACTCTTAAACTCTAAGGCATTCAGCAATAGTTTTTTAAGTGAATGAATAAATGAACAAATGAAAGTATGCTGTGATTGGAAATTTTTCTGTTGGCTTTTCAGTATTCTGTAAAATGTAAGAATTACATCAGAAAACATTAATTCAAAAATGTAGGAATAAGTCTTCTATAAATATTATCCTCATGTTTTCTCTGACTTACAATAAATGTTATTACATTCTCAAAAGGAGATGATTTATATTAAATAATTTTATATATGTTTGATATACTTGGAAATTTGAAATGTTTGAAGAAAGTTTTAAATATTTGAACGTTTATATTTGATAGATACTTATAGTTAATAGTTATAATTTATTTCATTTTTATTTAGTTAAATTTAAATTTGATAGTGTTCCCCCCAAAAGTTGGTATTAACTTCACTTGATTCAGATTCGAAGAATTTGGATTTCATCAAGTTATTTAATATTCCTTCAACAAATACATAAATTAAGTTTATTACTTTATCACTTGATTTTATGACTTAAGTTTATAACTTAATTTGACTTTTCTGGAACCTAGTGTCTGAATGAAAAAGATGTTGTTATCAAGTAGGAGCCCTTTAGTTAGGAATAAGATGTGGAAAATTAAGAAATGGCATTGGTCCCTTCTGTGCTATTTTTGTGTATTCATATGTTTAAACAGAGGTGGATGATTTAAAAAATGTTAGAGAAAATTTTCCGTGTAAATAAGAAATTGCTCTTCTTAATGGATATTTTGTGGCACATCCACATAGATACCAGAATTAGGCCCTCCCTCTGCAAACAGTATCACCAAAAATGTATTGTTTCTCAAGTATGAATTTTTTTATCCATGTACATTAAGGTAATTTGGGATTCTTTCTGTTTTTCTGAATATCAGAAAACGTAAATGAGAAAATTTATTCATAACTTAACAAGTATTTATCTTCCTGTCATGTTAAGTGATGTCATGTTAAGTTAACCATTAGTACTTCTGTCTAGACCAGAAAATTGTACACTTCCTTACAGCATATGCTGAATGTCATGTGGAAGATACAAAGGAAATTCTCTAATATGGAGTGATTTCACATTTTAATAATGATCAGAAAAGATAAAATATGACCTGGGCCTTGAAGAATGGCTAGCATTTTGATGGCTGACAGCATTCTAGTCAAATACTAGGAAGTTTTAAAAACAAATTAAAGTGATCAAATTAAAGTGAAGTTTGTGTCAGATAAGCCATATCAAGGCCTTGAATGTCAAATGGCCAAGTCCAGACTGTTTTGAAAGTAATGAGAAATCACTGACTCTTACCAAACAAGGAAGATATATGTTACTATATATGGTTTAGGACAATCAGTTTGATGGAGATGTATAGAATGTAGTGTGGGAAAAAGCATGGAACAAAAATGTGAATAATATAGTCTGAGAGAAAACTTCAGATACATTGGTACATCTTTTAATAGATCACAAAGTTTAATTAACTTTTTTTGGTAATTATTTTCTCAGCTCTTCATATATATTAGCTTTCCAATTGCTGGGTCACAAGACCTAACACCCACAATTTAAAGGAGGAGAGGTTTAATTTAGTTTATAGTTTCAAGGGATTCAGTACAAGGACAACAGGCTCTAAGGCAGGAACATCAGGGCAGAAGGGCCTTGTAGAGCAAAACTGCTTAATTCAGGGCTGCCTGGGTCACAGAGCAGGGGAGCAGCACCAGAGAGAAAGATGAAGGACTAGATCTGGTACCCAGTGTCACTCTTCCTTGAACCACCCAGACACACCAAGAAGAGTGCTTTACCAATCCCCTTGGCAGCTCCGAAGCCAATCAAGTTGACACACTCAACCATCACACCATATAATCCCCAAATATAGTTTTATAAAAACCACTTTGATAGTTCTTTGAAATTCATCTCTCTAGAGTGAGTATGGCTGTTACTTTTCTTTGAGGCATTAATGAAATGTACCAAACCATTCAAAACCATTCAAAAGGTGTCAAACCATTCAAAAGGTATTTGCTAAATGGTCTAAAAGGTCACCTTTACATTTTGTTATTTTTCTAGATAGAAAATTTGGGGGAGAGAGGAACAATTACTTATTTCCACTGAAAACTGTGGGTTAGCCTTCATGGATGTTGTCTGGCCTGCTTACAAAAGAATTGATTAGGCACAGTAATCAAAGGGCCCAAATCTATGCTATTTTATATGAAGGAAACAAAACTAATATATCAAATGCTTCCCATGTTTTATAAAATTATGAACTTTTTAATGAACCTTAAATTTATAATAGAGCAAATGTTAAAAGTTAAAAGTTCTAATACTTGTTTTTATTTAATATGGCTAAATTATTTAAAGAAAAATATACAGTATTTCATAAATAATATATGGTCAGGTTGTATATTTTCAAATAAGATGAATTTGTGATTTGACAAACTTCAAGGCAGCTTAGTAATGGAAAATTGTAATGTAATATATGCTTCAAGGTGACCTTTTAAATTCCCAAGTCTGACCTTCTTGCTCTTATGTTTAGGCCTCATATACTGACCTCGAAATAATTTAAGCCCTTCTATGAAGGCTTTGATTTTGCTTGTTCAGCATGGTCAAGTGTTAGGCCCTTGTTCTTCTTTTCTTTGTAGTCATACTTTCTGTTTGAATACTCACTTCTGTCTGAAAACCTTTGTATTTGCTGACCTTGTCCCTCTATCTGGAAAACTCTTCACCCCTCCTTTTGGTTGGCTGACTCCTATTCTTTTGCTTTATCCCATTTTAAATTACCAGTTTATCAGAAGGCCTCCAACTAGATTATATCCTCTCAGATCATCCTATACTTTTATAGCAGTTTCCATACCTTTTCTATTTGGCTAATGTGTGTTTTCCTCATTAAGCTAAATTACTTTACAGAAACAGTGTATGTTGGTACAGATTGTTTGGAGTATATGTATACTAAATTTTGATAGATACTGCTAAATTATCCTCCAATAGATTGTGTCACTTTTTACTCTGTATAGGAGGGCCTGTTTCTCTACAATCTTATGTCATTATATAGCATCTGTTTTTTCTTAATTTTGCAAGAAAACTGTTCTTTTTAAAAACTGTATTTTTTAGTGACCTTAAACATTCTTTTATACATTTACAGGCCAATTATATTTCTTCTGTATTCTCATTTTTCTACTTATTTACTAAAACTCTTCACCTATTAAGAATAGTTATTCTTAGTCATATAAGTCATAAGTATTTATAACAATTTGTTGATGTCAGATGGTTTTTGTGCCATGAGTTCTGTATCCTTTAATGCCCTCCTCTGCTCTACAGTTAAGAAGTTCTTTTTCATATCCCAGAGAGTTCCTTTTTTGACTCTTATGCTGTGACATGCTGTTTTTCTTGGTTAAAATAGTCATTCCAAATTTTGTTTTTATTTCATGAATAGTATATAATATTGTGATTCCCTAGGAACTGCTGGTTCTAAATATTCCTCTCCTTAACCTTTTATGCCTTTCATAGTCATTAAATTAGTTACTTATCTCAACACCAAACTGTCATTTTAGATGTAGACTGACAATTCTAGTCTCCCTACCCCACCCTCTGATGTGGATTAGACAGCACAGTCCTAATGTATGTATAGTGTGGTCTTAATAAACAAATGTAGGATGAATCAATTGTGGCCATTTTAAAGTACTCTCCTGTTGAAAATAAGCAGGTCCTTTGTGACATGTGTAGTGTTTGATGCCTCCTTTGGTTTCTTTACTATATTTAAGATAATGAGATAATTGATCTTAAGGGACAGGTGGAAGAATACAGTTCTGCTTTTTTAGCATCACAAAATTTGTCAGATCTTTTGTGAACTTTTAAAATAATTTTGAATCATCTTTGTGGACCAAGTAACCAAATAATAAGGGAGTAAATCTAGAAAGTTATAAAATGTGTGAGAATATTGCGTTAGGATTCTCTAAAGGTACAGAATCAATATAAGATATATCCATAATTATACAAAGGCATAATTAGGTAAGACCTTAAGAGACAGAAGAGTCACAGTGGCCCTTTGTGGGATCAGAGGCAGAAGTGGCCATCTATATGCTGGACAGCAGAGGATCCAGTAGCATTTGAAGTTCATAGGTCTGGAAGCTCACTTTAGAGTCACCAGTGTGAGTCTGGTCTTGAAGGCAGAAGAGTCTGCATTGGAAGGCTGAAGAAACTAGAGGCCAGTGTCCAAAGACAGTGGTGAAGACTGCAGATCTTCCAAAAAAAAGAGAGATGCTTCGTTTCCCTTTTTATTCTGTCCGGGTTACAAGCCTATTGGTTGGTGCCACAGACATCCAGGGTGGATCTTACCCCCTCAGTTTGCTGACATACATGTCAAACATCCACAGACACATCCAGAATTTACTAATCTGCTAGATGGTTCTTATTCAAGACAAGTTAATATATCAATTAAAGATCATGGGTATAGGTGTAGCTATTTAGTTACTTTGTTTTTTTATATATGTTCTTAGGAATTTTTATTCAGTGAAAAGTACTTCATGTAATATTAAATAATTTGAGTTGAAATTAAACTTGTGAGACTATAGATAGCAGTTAGTGCATTGTCATTTGAAATATCTGATGTGTAAAAATGGAAATATTTTTATTTCTCTTATTTTTTATAGGAAGTTCGTAAAGTGAATGAAAGCATCAAGTATAACCACCCACTGAGAAAGTGTGTTGACACAATACTCAAAAAGGTAATTAAATTATATTATCTCATTTGTTTCCTTTCTAAATATTAATTTATGTAATATATAAATTAATGTTTTACATAATAAAAGCATCAGAAAAGTATGAAAAGAACTATGACTGGGTCTTCCCAATACTTATGGAAATATTAACCATAAACCAATAGTAATGTGTACACAGTGGGGGGATTTTTGTTTGTTAAATTAGATTTAAAGTTATTTTCCATTGAAATGTGGAGTTCATGGTGATGTTGAGTAATGTATAGTAATTGCCATGACACAGTGGTAGATTGATCACTATATGATCATTGTATATGATCACTAAAGGCATATCTACTATAAGAAAATAAACTCGGGCCTCAATAATCTGTTTCAACCAACTTCCGACATGTCACTTTACGAAATATTTCAATTATCATTAAATGAGTGACATGAAATATAACACAGGTATTTAATAGAAAGCCGTACAACTAAGATTTTCATATGGTAGTATAGAATTAGCAGAACTCACATACTTTCAAAAATGATTATTTTACAGAGTTCTTCTATTGTCTTTTATGCACCCACGGAACCACTGAAATATCTTTTCCTCTGTTTTAAATCACTTGTACTGATCATTAGCTAAGGTCCCTTTGACTAAATTCCTAGTTATAGGAATAAATTTTCTAACCATGTTTCTTATATTTGCTACTTCTTGAGACCTATTTTGGGAGCTTATCTAACTTTCCGAAGTTCATATGGGTAATAAATGACTAATAGTATGGTAGATACTCCATATAGAATATGCAATTCTCTATACTGTGGCTTTAAAAAACTCAGAATCGTGGATTTGTCATGATTCTTCTTCATTTAGCCAGGAAAATCAATGAGTTTTATTTTATCTCAAATAGTAGTTCATGTAGATAAGCTTCCTTACCTTCGCCAACCTCCAATTAGTATATCTGAACACAAAAATTACTATGAAGGAAGTGAGAAGAAAGTCAACACATCTTTTAAAATATTTTTTAAAAAGTATTAGCAAGGAGAAATCTATTTAGAATTGCTAATAAAGGAAGAATATGTTTTTGATAAAATTAGACATGACCAAGAATGATAGAGTTTTTAATAAAAATAATTAATTTATTTATAATTAATTTTTTTTTAAATCTGCTTTTCCTTTTAGTGCCCTATAGAGTATCAGGAAAAAATGGGAAGGAACATGGATGATTATGAAGATTTTGATGAAAAGCGTAATACTTATCCAAGTGAAAAAAGTCTGGTAAAATTGCATAAACAGGTAACTTAATTATTGATTATAGCTGTTTCATTAGCAGATGATTTCAATTATATTTATAATTGTTGCCTACTAAGAAGGAATTTTGAATGAAAGTGTATCTAAAACTTTCTTTGATCTTGTCCTTATCTGTATTTTTATAATATTTTAACTTTGTGTTTCTGGACAGGGATGGTCTGGGAAATTGGGCAGAAATATAAGTGTTATGCAGAAGTCTTACAAATCATTTTCCACTCAGTAAATGCTACTCTCTGTTGTAACATACATATATACACACATACATGTACAGACATTCCTAAACAGTGGGTTGACTCACCCTTGGATCAGAACAAGGTCAACCTGCTTTGCTTCTCTTTTTCAGGTGATTTATTCAGTTCAGAGGCACCATCGAACTCAAGTACAATGGCAAATTCTTTTGGAACAAGCATTTTATCTAGAAGACGTAGCAAAAAATGAAACCAGTGCCACCCGTCAGTTTGTTTACACCTTTCAGCCCCCAGAGCCAGAAAATCGATTTATCCAATATTTTTATAATCCTAAAGTTGGTATGTAATTTTATATAAATTTCAAAGTTTAATGATTGTTTTCTGTAGGAAAAAAGTATATTTTCATCAATGGAAAACTGAATTCGGGCTGGGGATTTAGCGCAGTGGTTTCGCCGCCTGCTGTGCAAGCTCAAGGACCCGAGTTCAATATCCAGTACCAAAAACAAAAAAAACTGAAATTCAGTTGTATCATGCTGTGTGGTAATATGTATTTGATAAACTTTCTGAAGTAACTATTTTACTTGTCATATAGCATATCCATCATTTTTTACTGTTACTTCACAAATAGTTGAAATTCTATGCAAAAATATATGCGATCAAGTATATTTTGTATATATATGATATACACTTAAAATAATTAGAATTTTAAGAAATTTACATCACAGACTTGCATCTCTTCTTCAGTCTTGACAGTCTGTTAAAATATTCCCTTAAGAAGTACTCTTTGATTATTTTCATTCATTAGTTTTATTTATGAGACCTATGTACTTTAGTCATCATTTTTTTCACTTCCATGATTGCTTATGACGCTTCTTTTTTTTTTTTGGTACCAGGGATTGAACTCAGGGCCTTGCGCATGCGAGGCAGGAGGAGGAACCACTGAGCTAAATCCCCAGCCCGACACTCGTTTTAAATGTTATCAAATTTAGTGTGAAGAAAGTTAATCCATGTACCAAATTGTCTCTGTACAAAAACTTCAATTAACCTCATTTATTCTAACAGCTGTATTCACTCAATCATCTTTTGCATATTTGGTCTTCAGTATGAAGACTTAATAACCAAACAAATATCTCAGAAAGCTTCAACAAAGATTTTTTTAATTAAGGGGACAGTGTGATTGATATCTGTTTTCATTTATTCAACAAATATTTGAGTACATAAATTTTGTGTATTGTTGGGTGCTGTATATATATATATATATATATATATATATAAATTTAAAAAGACAAAGAACTGCCCTTGTGAATTGAGAAAAACAGACAATTAAATGCATACATGTATAAATAAGGTAATTAGTGCTAGAAATAGAAATTCAGGGCAGAAGACTGGTCTGCAAATATAAATTAGGGTGCCATCAATGGATAGTGAGCCATGGGCCAGGAAAAAAAATCAGTAAAGAAGTTATTGGGATAGAAAAGAGAAAAAGTGAGGCCCAAACCTGTAGCAGTGGGATTTTTAAAGATTAGTTGATAAGGAAGAACAAGCAGAAAAGACTCGAAAAGGAGTGTCCAGTGAGATAGGAAAGCCAGGAGAGTAAAATATTTTGTGGAAAAGGGTAGCATACCTTTCAATTACTGTAGATAGGCTGTATCATGAACACTAAGATTTGCCCACTGGATTTCAGGGAACAGAGAGGGAAGAAAGGTAATAAAGCTAATTGAGGTTTAGAAGTAAGGAAAGCAACTGAAGATACGGTAGAAAACTCTCAAGGTGTTTTTTATATAAAAGCAGAGAAAAGGGGTGGTAGTTGACAGAAGATTGATGGGTATAGGGTATGAGGAGAAATTATACCAAGTAACATGGGAATGATATAGAGAGAAGAAATTTGATACGGTAGTAGAGAATTCTGGAACAGTGTTCATGAGTAGTAAAGATCAGATTAGAAATGGTGAACAGTGAAGAGAATGGGTTTTGATTAGGAGGTAAGGCACAGAAGTACCTTAGATGTAAGAAGATATAATAGTGGAAATATGGGAAAATTCTCTTCAGATAATATATATTTGCTTAGCAAAATGCTGAGAGTAGGTATGGGGGGTAGATTTTGGAAGAGAAGATATAAAATATTACCTACTCCCAGGGTCTTGGTTAGAGAAGAGGTAAAGAAAATGAGAGATCGTAATATTGAAAGTAGGATCACCTATGTGGATGATGAAATCACCAGAAATTATGCTGAGCTTAAGGTGGAAAGGACTTAGTTCTATGAGACAGGAGCTCTGTTTTTCAGTGTATGAAGTGAAAACATAGCCTTGCTGAGGGTGTAGATGAGTGGTATAGCACATCCTTAACATACACAAGGCCCTGGGTTTATTCCATAGTGCCCAAAATATAAGTATGGGCTTTTCAACTTAATGAGTTTTCTTTTTTCTTTTAACTTTTATTTTTACTTAAATTCAGACTTAAACCAGAATCTCACAAAATATTCTCATATACCTAAGTTCTCCATATATTAAAATTTTAGCATATTAATTTGCTTTGTCTTTCTCTGTGTATGTTTTTTCCTTAATGTTTCAGAGTTGTATTCAGCTGTGATGCCTCTTTCCTCGTAAATGTTTTAGCGTGTATTTTCTAAAACTAAAGATATGTTCTTACATAACCAATTACTACTATCAAAATCAGGAAGTTATTATTGATACTGTCCTGTTATTCACAGACCTTACTGCTTATTTCAGTGATATTCTTTGTAAAAAATTGTAGATCATGTGTTGCATTCAGTTGGCCTATCTTCTTAGTCTCCTTTAATCAAGAACAGTTTCTCAGGCTTTACGTATGTTTTATATAGATGTTTGTGGAGAGTGCAGGTCAGTTTTCTGTTGAATGTCCTAATGATTAGATACGGTTATGCATTTTGGGCAGGAATACCACACAGTGTCATTATTTTCTTCTCAGTGCATCACAGCAGGAAGCACATGGGATATCAGTTTGTCTCATTACTAGTGATCATTTGGCTAGGGTGATGTCTGTCTGGTTCCTCCAGTGTACAATTGCTATTTTTCTCTTGGTAATTATCTTGTTGGATATATTTTAAAACAGTATAAATACCCCGTTACTCCTTTATTTTTCCTAATTTTATTTTTCTTTTATCTTCTAGAATGGTACTGGGAATGTCTTTTACGACCATGGTTTTACAGGATTCTTGCTGTGGTTTTGTCCATCTTTTCCGTGATTGTTGTGTGGTCAGAGTGCACGTTCTTTAGCACAACTCCTGTCTTATCCCTCTTTGCAGTCTTCATACAGCTGGCAGAAAAAACGTACAATTATATTTATATTGAGGTCAGTTTACCTTGTATCTTAAAGTTGTCATAAATATATTCAACTTCATAGTTTAACCTTTGTTATATTTTCTCTCTAACTTTATATTTCTTCTAGTAATAATGCAAACAGTGATACTTCCTACAGTATTATTCAGACTTCCAAAAATGAGTTTACCCAGACTATAAAAGCTAAGAGCTGTATTTAAGAAGAGATGAAAAGGTGTAAGATAGTGCAAGATTATTTTATGAGAATACTTTGCTCTTCTTTATGCCAGTGAAGCTGCATAATGTAGAGTCTTCCTGTGAAGAGTTTCCAAGGGAATGGGAAAACAGACTTACTTTAGAAGATAGATTTGAAACATATAGATCTAGGATATTGAACTCGTAGAAATGTAGATTTTTTTTTCCCATAATTTCATTTTCATATATGACTTTTTAAAATTCTGTTGTTGTATTTAAATTTCAGATCAGTAAATGTTAGCTGGAAATGAAGAATGATTCTTGTGATATTTATTAGTCTTAAATTGTTTTCCAGATTGCTTGCTTCCTTTCCATCTTCTTCCTCAGTATTTGTGTTTATTCTACTGTATTCAGGATTCGTGTATTTAACTATTATTACTTGGCTTCACATCACCAGACTGATGCTTACAGTCTACTTTTCAGTGGCATGTAAGTAGGATTGAGTTTAGAAACAGAAATCTCTCTGTTGCGTGTATCACTGTGGATCTCTCTTGTTTCTTATTGTTTATGAATGTTGCACTAACGCCTACATTTCTACATTTCAACTGATTAGGTAACAATGAATTTTTTTTTATTACCAGCCAAATCCTACTTGAAGTTTAAAGTTAAAATAAGTGTGCCAGGTTAGGAGACATACTTAAGAAAGACAAAGTGAGACCGAGTTTACCAATTCGAGATTCAGTTTATAGATGAGTAAATAGTAGAAACAATTGAAAGTTTAGAGACTGAATAAGTCTCTGCAGAATAATCTGAAGGTCAGTGGCCTCAAATTGTTTTAAGGAAAGCCAAGAAAACTGATTGGAATACTTTTTCTTGAGGAATTTAGAGAGAATTTAGAGATGGCTGTAGCTTGGGGTAGGTTGCACAATATTATTTACTCTTCAGTCAGTCCTATGGCGTATTTGTAAGGGCTAGACTCAGAGAGGTTCAGAGGAATTGATATCTCAAGCATTGTAAGGAGTTTCCTTTGCTTTACAAATAATTTTGGACTTACTGGAAGTTGCAAATATGCTACAAAGAGTCTATATATGCATCAAGCTTCTCCTATTGGTGATATCTTGTGTAGCTATTTCACAATATCAAAACCAGGAAATTTATATTAGAACTTTACTGTCAACCACACTGTAAGCCTTATTTCATTCTCATTTGTTTGTGCAGATTCCTGTAGCCACCACAACTGAAATGCAGAATTGTTTTTTTACCACAAAAGAAATTCCTCATATTACCTCTTTATATTCACATCTCATCATCCTTTCCACTCTCAGCTCTTCAATTCTAGTTTTATAAGATACCTTTTCTTTATCTGGACAAAAATGAACAATTTTTCATAGCTGAACCTGTCAGAATGATACATTTTGATACAACTTCAGGTCTTTTATGGACTGAGTTCCATTCACCTTGTGGATGTTACTGTCTTTGTCATACTGTGAGATGGATTGCACAGATGGTGGAATTGAGAAGGAGTATACGAAGTCCCTCCACAAATTATGCAGATAAAGCAGTGGCAGACATGACCATAGCAGGCAACCTGAGGCTGTAGTTTTGCTCTGTGGGCATTGATGCTTTAATGAGGGATGTATTTGTAGGACATTCTGCATGTCACCCAAATGAATAAGGGCAGTGCACATTAAGAATTCAAAATGTGTATTACACAGCTAGATGAAACTTATAGCTACAATGGTCTGAATACATTTCAGTATAATACAAAATGTATTCTGCATTATTTTTATATATTCTCTTTAAAATTATTTACCGTAGGTTATTTTGCCGTTTGACTCCTCCTTTATGTCTTAATTTCTTGGGTTTGACCCATATGGATTCTTCCATCTCTCACCAGAATACTCAACCAACTGCTTATACATCTGTAAGTATGATCAAAAAATGGAATTCTTTAGATTTGTTATATATATGAGATGTTGTTATTGTAAACTTTCTTTTAATGTTGGGAGAAGAGTTCTGTAACATTGTTGGACTCCTGTTACTGAAATTTTCTCTTAAAGGTTGTATATATAACTACTGATGACCTGATAAAAGAGATTTTGCTTCTCTTATAAAAAATGTTTCTTGGTTCATTAGGTTGTCTGAGTAATAGTAAAAGACCTAACTTACAACAATATATTATTATTATTATTATTATTATTATTTTTGGTACTGGGAATCGAACTCAGGACATTGCGCTTGTGAGGCAGGTGGCAGCACCACTGAGCTAAATCCCCGGCCCAGATTTAGAACAATATTAACTTTAATATTTATAGACTTTATATATAATTTTGGGTAGTATTTATAAGATACTAGTTTTCTATAGGAGATAAGTTTAATGGAAAGCAAACTTTAAAAAATCAGATCACTTATTGCTTTGTGTCTACTTTTTGAAAAGTTTAAAGTTTAATTTATTGATAAATAAATATAAATAGTTATGCACAAATTTCCTAATGATGAAAAGTAATGAAAAATATAGAACTATGCTGATATAACTTTTTTTGTTTTTTGCTCTTCAGATTATGGGTTCCATGAAAGTTTTATCCTTTATTGCAGATGGATTCTACATATATTATCCTATGTTAGTGGTAATTCTCTGCATTGCTACTTATTTTAGGTAAGGAATTTAACATTTTTCCTCATATCCTTAGTTGGATCTGGGTATCTTCATAAAACTCCTTGAAATATTTACTGGTTTTGTTTTAGATGTTGTTTATTTTGGCTTTGAGGAAACTAAGGATAGTTTGAAGAAACCACTTTAATGATCAAGTCATGTTCTCCGCTCTAAATATATTTTAATGAAAAGAGAAGTAGAGTTATTCTGCTACATGTAGGCTACAAAGTGATACAATTAGTTACACTGCGTTAACTCATAAGTCTTGGCCTTTGACAGTGACAGCCAGTGTAGCTTTAAAAACCCTTTCATTCCTAGCTTCTTTCTCGTAACTCATAATTTAAGTTTAGGGCTTTCCCCATAATCATTGCTGGGTTCCTAAATGCTTCAAATCATGGCCGTCACATTGAGAAAGGTGAGGAACAATTATAACTGAGGAGTACATCTAGGGCTGGAGGAGAAATTCTCCTCTAGTTTTGAAAAGTTCATGGGCTGCTTTTTTTTATGAGATTAGAGAAAATGATAGAATCTTGGTAGAGATTCAAGAGAAGTTAAAGGACAGGTGCACCTGTCTTTTAGCACCCTGACATGTAAAGGATCCTTACCTCTGTTTCTCTGCCCTCTCTCACCTCATAAGCGCCAAATATATCACTTCTTTAAGAATATTTTATTAATGTTAATGTTTGCTTTTCTTCTGTTATTTTTTACTTTTTATTTTTATGTGGTACTGGGGATTGAACTCAGGGCCTGACCTAGTTTACTTCCATAAGAAATCTATACCCTGTACTGTGAGAAGTGCTGGGTATAAGCTTCTCAGGAACAGAAATTAGTGCTTCTTAAAGAATGATAGATGCAATACTATGTAACTTGGCATGATAAATAATAATGAAGCATTGGCTTCTTTGGAGGTGACAGTGCTAAGGAACAGTTTATCTAAAGATTTACAATGGGAAATAATGCTTATTTTTTTGAATGTCTACTTTTATTAGTTTGGGAACCCGTTGTTTGAATCTGCTTGGTTTCCAGCAGTTTATGGGAGATAATGATATGACATCAGACTTAATTGATGAAGGAAAAGAACTAATCAAACGAGGTAAGATTTATCTTTTAAAGTAAGTGAAAAGAAAATGTTAAGTGCTAAGACAAAGTACAAGAATAATGTTTATATAATTTGTAAATAATATTTAATATATCTTAAGACATAAATTAATGCTGTTGTTTAGCTAAATATCTATGTACATCTTTTTTAGGAAAAATAAATAGTGTTTCATATAAGTGTTTCATTTTTCTTTAAGAAATTCTGAGGCTGGGGATTTAGCTCAGTGGTGTCGCGCCTGCCTCGCAAGCGCAAAGTCCTGAGTTTGATCCCTGGTACCGAAAAAAAAAGAAAAAGAAAAAGAAATTCTGCAGCATAAATTATAGTATGTCTGCAACTAAAAAAAAGCCTTTTATTGTCTTGGAGTTGTTTGCATGTTTGCTTTGAAACATATTTGCCAAGTTTTTATATAACTATAAAACTCATTAAAGAGTCATTAGTTTGATACTACATGGGAAATCATTCAATCCAAGGCTATTTCTCTTAAAATATGATTATTAATGTGAGAATGTGAGCACTATTAGAATATATAGCACTCTACTAGAATCTAATCATAAAATTGAATGTATTAACTTACTGATGTTCAAGCAATGGTAGAATGTAGGGGTAGGAGGGATTTGTCTTTAGGACATTGGTATTTAGACATTCTCTGAAATTACCAAGTACTCTTATGGCATTTCCCTACTCTCATTGAAGGTAGTGTCTAGTTGATACAGTAGTTTTGCTTGTTGCATTAATTAGACCTCATCTGGATAAGATTTTCACAAATAGCACTGATAAATTAGGAGATATTTAGAGGACAGCCAAAATTATAGTATATGCAGGGGGGAGTGTTAAAGTTTTATGTGTATATAATTTAAAGAGAGTTACAGGGGAAAGCACTCCTAAACAGAAGTAAAAAAGTATAAATTCGGTCTAAAAGAGCTAAAAAGAGTGGAAGTTACAGAGCAACAGATTTTAGGTCACCATGAGGAAAATATCTTACTTCAGTTACTCTATGTTTAATTAAACAATATTAAACCAAATTTGAGGTCATTTTTCTGTCTTTAGAGAAGAGAAAAAGGCAAAGGCAAGAAGAAGGTGAAAATCGAAGAAGAGTAAGTACAGCATTTATTAAATCACTTAAAAATAATAAGAGTTGGGCTGGAGATTTAGCTCAGTGGTTCCGGTGCCTGCCTCGCAAGTGCAAGGTCCCGAGTTTGATCCTTGGTACCAAAAAAAGGAAATAATAATAATAATAATGAGTGTTTACTGATTTGGAGTAATTGGCTAAAGATAGAAAAACAGTGGGAAAATGACTTAGGATGTATTTGTAAAGGAAGGGGATTTTAGTACTTTCATATGCAAATGCTAGGTGTCCTGTCAAATTTGTTCCAAAAAATTGTTAGTAATAAACTACTTAATTTGTGCCCCCAGTCACAAGCAGTTTGTTGCCTAAGGTACGTGTTCAGTAAATATTTGTTGAATGAATGAATAAACTCATAAAGCCTTGCCTTTGAAATGGTTTTGATTACTTTAAAATTGTATGCTGTTTTGATAACATGGAATTAATTTTATTCCTCCTTAATTTTCCTTTAGTCCTCCATGTGGTAAGGCAAATTAACTTCCTCCTAGAGAGTGAAAAGGGAAAAAATGAGAAAACTTATTCACAATTACAACCAAATTCTAACACCTGGATGTATTTAACTGATAAAATGAAGGAAAAAAGGGAACTTGATAGTTGTCTGTATTATAGTATATGTCATGTAAAAGGAAGACTTGTTCTTTTTTTTTTTTTTTTAAAAAAGCTTTATTGAAATACAGTTGATTTTATGAAAAATGGCACATATATAGTATAAATGTTTTAGGAGTTGGACATGTAGATGTATACCATTTATTTCTTTTTTTAAGTTCTTGTTTTTTTCTTTTTTTTCTTTTTTGGAATTGAACTCAGGGCCTTGTGCTTGCCAGGCACATACTGTGGCACTAAGTATATCCCCAGCCCCGATACCATTTATTTCAAGATGGATAACTAGAATCAAAGAGTAGAAGTTAGTGGAGAAAGATTTCACCCTCTCTATGAATATTTCTAACTTCCACCATTTACCAAAATTGCAATATGCTGCTCAAATGTAGAAAACTGTTACCTAGTCAAAGAGCCAAAAACCATCTAGCATAGTTTAGAATGAGTCCCTGCATGGAAGATTAAATTAGGTGACTTCTAGTGGCCATTTCAATCTAAGAACTTAATGAGTACAATCTCATTAATGTGATTTTACTACATTTAAGATAATTCATAATTCTGTGTGAGTCATCATCTAGTTATGCTTTGTACAACTTTAATTGCACCATCAAAAATGACTTTTCAGGTTATTAGTATTGGTAGCTAATTTGAATGAAAGAAATTTTATAAATATTTTATAAGTCATTTGTGAATTTTCATGATTCTTACATGGTCAGGGTAACTTTGATGTAGTTGTAATGTCTTTAAATTTTAGGTAAAATAGCAATTTAACATAATCATAGCTAGCAAAAAAATCTATAAATGTCTTCATTGAAAATTAAAGCTTACGGAGTCTGATTTGAATGAATCATGTAAAAATAAAAACATTGGCCTATGATTTTTAAGGGCATTATGATATTTATGATACTAATGAATTTCTAATGAAAATAATTACTCTGCATATAGAATCGCTTGACACTGACCAATTATTTTTTATTCTTTTGTTACATATTCATTTATGTTTCCTTTTTAGGAATGGAAAGAACGTTATGGACACAATAGAGAAGATTCCACTAGGAATAGAAATGTTCATTCTGATCCAAAAGAGTCAAATTTCTCAGCTAGTAATACCACTTGGTGTAAGTACTTTATATTTTCTCATTTGCTTAGAATTTTTTTTTTATGTTTGCCTGCATAGTGATTGAGAATTAGGATACCAATGTGGAAATGCCTAGATTTTGTAAGAATTATAAACATATATCTTCAGGGACTTTACTTTCTTGTATTCCTTCATATGTACAAGGAAAGGGAATCACAAATATGCATTCTAATAGGGGAAGGAAAACATCAAATGAATAGTTGTAAGTATACTAACCCAAACAAGCGTTTATCCCAGGCATGTTCTAGGCAAGTATTTATTTCTACTATATACCTTGATGTTTTTCTGTACTTTTCTTTTGGTAGATACTGGTTATTCAGTCATTTTTATAATAATTTATTGACTGACCATATATGTCAGATACTTTTCCATGTTTACAATTATACTGAGAAGATAAATTTCTTGTCTGTGAGGTGCTCACATTTTAGAGAGGGACTGATATTAAGCAGAAACTATCCGTAGTAGTGTGGGTTAGGAAATTTCCCAAAGCACTGACCCTTCACTGCCATGAAGCAGAGAAGCCATTTGTCTCTAGGAAGGTGCCAAAAAGCCTGTTTGCCTAGAACCTGGCACTGTGTAGAAGGCTAAGTTTGTATGTCTCCGGGAGAGATATAATGATACTGAGAGCGTCTCACCACCGAGGCTTCAGTGTACAGGAGCCTGCATAAGATTGAGGATGAAACAGGAAATCTGAGCTCTCCTTTCAGCCAATGATAAGTTTTGTAGAACAGTAGTCTACTGATGCAGAAGTAGAAACATACTCCCCACTCCCCAACCCGTTGGATAGGCATACAGTGACTGCTAAAATCCAAGTGGAAACAATTGATGCTTGAAGAGAGAGAACCATTTGACAATTGAAGCTCTACGAAATCTAAAATAATGATAGTCCATTCTGGAGAAATGTGCAATCTATGGGGACTTAAGGGAATTAAAGCAACAGCAAAGTCCAAACCCAGATTAAATACAAATTACAAATAGGTTAATTTCAGCCCTCAACACTGATTACCTAATAGAAGAGGTATGCCCATCTTGGGCATAATTGTTATTTATCTTAATTTCTCCTGTCTTTTGCAGAAAATGTCTGACATTTAATCAGAACACTCAAGAAAGTAGGAAAGAATGAGCCATCTTTAAATAGAGCTGTTAACATATTAGACCTAGAAGTGACCAAATATTGGAATTGTCAAACAGTACAGTGAATAAAATAATGAATTAGTATGTGAAAAGATCTAATGGAAAGCTTGGACAAGGTACATGAACAGATGGGGGAATATCATCAGAGAGATAGAAACTACAAAAGAGTAAATGGAAATGTTAGAAATATTTTAATGACAGATTATTTAGTGTAGTATTTAATCTACACTAAAGGAAGAAAAAGTGTCTGTCTTTGGAAAAGATTGTCCAATAAATAAATATTTCTGTGGTAAAGAAATAGTTTAGTACTGAGGAATGAATGATATTTAGCAAGGTGAAGTTTTTAATGAGAAGGAAGAGTGAATGAGTACAGGACATAGTGACATGAGAGAACCTTTGGAGAAATAACACATTTTTCTCTGATTAGTGTCTTAAGTACAAGAGGCTGATAAGAGAGGAAGTCACATAGATGGTTGGGCAGCAGACATTGTTATGCTCAAAAGGCTGGATATTATCTTGAACAAGATTTTAATCTGAGAAGAAACATAATAAGATATTTGGTTTAGAAAAATGAATTGGATGACACTATAAGCATGATTTTTCAGAGAAGTGACACAAACTATGAGTCTGTTTTGATAAAGCAGTCGAGAAATGATGAAGGTCTAAAATAAGACTGATCCCAGAGGTGAAAAGGATTTATTTGAAATATTTAGAGTAAAATAAATAGTGGACAGCTAAAGCTTTAGTTAAAGCTGTGAAATAGGATTCTATAAAGGCATTTGGATGCTTACCATAAAGTTTACAGCATGGAAACACCCAGTGGTATGGGAGAATGGTTAATAGAAGAGGAAGCACAAAGGTTTAGATGATGAGTTAGTGAGAACCTAGAATGTGGTAGTTCACTACTATTGGTTGATTGAATGAAAAAAAGGTTAATAGAACAATGAAAAGGCTTGCATTTAGGGCAGAGTCCAAGATGACAAAAATGTAAGGTATGGATAGGTTGCTTTAAGTTTTCAAAACGAACTGTATCCTAAAGTTGTTTGGAAGTTACTTGGACTGTTCCAATAACATCATGAGAATTTAAGTTGTTTATAAAGAAATCTTCATCCATGGAAAAAAACCAGAGCTCTCAGATATGTAGTGCCCAGGGTGGCAATCATTAGTTGCATGTGACTATTGAGTACTTACTTGCAGTGTGGCTAGTGCCCCGTGTTATTGTGTTAAAATTAATTATACTGAAGTTAATTTAACCTGTGTCTTTTACTTTTTCATGTAGCTACTACAAAATTTCAAAATAAATATGGGAGTTACATTTTATATATGTTGACTAGTGCTACTTTTGCTTCATGAGAAAAAACACTGAGGCCTTTCTTCAAGAGCTTTGGTTGATTACCCCTTTTAGTCCTAGCCAACAATGAGTGCCGCTGTTACCAATTGAAAGTTGATTTGATAATGAACAACTTCACCTTTATGATACCATAGTTAAATATTCTAATTCATATTGTCTGTCTACTGTATCTGCTTCTGAGCTTAGACAGCTACAAGCCTGAAGAAATTTTCCTTATTTTCTATTCTATTGTTTATAATTTTAATCAGACTTTAAAGGAACTGTGTAGTTATCTTTTCTTATATTTTTTTTCTTCACAATCGAAATTCACATCCTTTATAATCTTGATTTTTCTTCCTGTGAACCCATATATTGTGACTTATAAATGAAAAGACAATAAGGAAATAGACATTTCTCTTTTTCTCTCCTTTTGAACAGCATCCAAATATACCAGGGCTAATAATAGGACTGAAAGGGACCGAATAGAACTTCTCCAAGATGCAGAACCTTTGGATTTTAATGCAGAAACATTCAATGATGATCCTCTTGAATCTGAATCAGGAAGGTAAGTTCTGATTATGTCATTTTGACTCTAGCGTTCCTCTGAAATTTTAATAACATATTGACAAGATTGGAAACAAGTCATAGGTGAACATAAGAAAAATGTCCATCTTTACTACTAATAAAAAACATACTGGTATGTTTGATATTATTTTATGCCCTCTAATATTTTTATATTTAAAAACTTATACCACTCAGTGGTAATTAAAATAGGTATCTTCATATTATATATAATAAAGAATTGAAATTATATATATATATGTATACATACACATATCTACTCATAGATACATATTGATACATT